ATTTCTATTTTTCCTTTAAAAATGTGTTTGTGTGGGGGGGGGGGGGAGGGGAACTATACCTTGTGGAAAATAAATTCATCACACAAGTAAATTGTTCTTACTCTTGGCAATACATGTAGAAATATTGGAAACAAATTACACAAATTTACGAACTTCTTTTAATTAAATTTTCATAAAAATGCATTAACATCTATTTTCTATCAACAACAAAAAAGTAATAGGTAAAAGAATGGAAAATAAATAAAGTGTGGACATGATATTTACTGTAAATAAAATACTAGAAACATTATTATCATTGAATGAAAAATTATCTAAGTCTAGACTTCACAGTATCCAGGAGCTTCTTCCAACAGCTAAAGGTCAACCAAAGCTAAGAAACCTTTTTTCATTAGAGAGTCAGCATGCACAAGAGTTACCCTCCCCAAGGACATGCTTGAGAACATAGTTCCAATTCTCTAGTTAACAATCCATTTATATAATCCATGAAAGATCATTCAGAAATACTAAGTGCCACTCATATTTGTCTTAATATTTTTTGGTTGGTTCTTAGATGTACAAGTTGTAATGTTATATCAGGCATGCATCTTGTTTTAGCTAATAAAGTTATTTTTTGATTCCCACAGTTTAAAGGTGGAATTTACGAAACTTTTCTTCTACAACATTGTGAAGTAATTAAAAAAAGATGATGACAAGTGTCATATATATTTAATTTTCTCTTGACACAAGCAAAGGTAAGAAAGCTTTTGTGAAGGCAAAGAAAGGCAAGGAAGCTTGATCATAGTATGATGCATGTCATTGGAATAAACTAGAAAAAGAAGGTAGCCAAAGTATATAATGTGAAAAGAGTGATTGATGGTTATGTATTGTTGGAGACATGTGGGAAAGTTTTCATGGTTACATATTATGATGTGCATTCCACTTTCCCCATGAGCCATGTCATAACTCATAAATGGATCATGCCAAGCACTAGGTCAATCTTCAACATGCTTCCCTCTAACAATATTATATTATCGTTTTTCATAGCATATATTGGTCCCATCTCTTTCAACATTACAAGCACTAAAGTTGGCATCATTAGTTATCTTTAGCTAAGCCAGCCATGCGAGTCAACAATTATAAAATCTATATATAGTGCATAAATCATTTTGTTAAAGATATATTTGAAAAATTGATAAAAGTAGAAGATTTTAACTTCAAATCTTAATGCAATCAATATAATTTTGATAAATAAAAAATAATAATTTATAACAACTTACATGCGTGAATTAACTGAAGTAAATTCATTTTAGTTTGAGGACTGATATCAAATGTCTTGAATTAGAATATTAGAAAGGAGAATTTTGCTATCCATCAACTTGAGCCAAATTTTTTCTTCGGTATACATATGAACACTTCTATAAATAAATAAAAAATAGCTTATAAGAAAATTGATGTCATGATATCACATAAAAAATAATAAATAAAAAAATAGATACAATTTCTTAATGTTATTCACTATTTAAAATTAAAATTTTATCTCAATAACATATTTTTACATTTAATACAATATATATATATATATATTAGTATTATTAAAATAAAATTTTAATTCTAATAGAATAACACCACCTTAATCATATTAAAAATTTATCTAAATTTTATCTAAAAATGATCATTTAGTTTGTGTGGCAGTTGAGCCTAACCTTAAATATTTAATATAGTCAGATAAACATTAAAAAATTAAAAATTATTTAATACTTTATTTTATTAATTTAAATTGATGAATATTCTTAAGAATATTTTATACATTGATTTAAATTTATATAATGAAGTATTATATAATTTTTAATTTTTAATTTTTTTAATTTAACGGTTAAATAGTTAAAATTTGATTAAAAATATAAGTTATTAAGTAGAATAAGATTTATTTTTAAAATAAATATTTCATATATATATACATATATATAATAATAATAATAATAATAATAATAATAATAATAAGAGACTAGCGAAATTATGATATTGAGCAGGCAAGGGTTGAATTTGAAGCAGGTAGAATTAAATTGATATGATGATGAGATGTAACCGTTGAGATAAGGTCAAAAAGAGAAAGAAAATCAGTTGAGTGCTGAACTTTCAAACAGATAAGTCTATCCCTTTTGCCTGCAAATTTATGTTTCTCTCACTAACCCTCTTCCTTCTATCACTTTCTCTCTTTTTTATTTACCTTCATACACCACAATTTACAATGTTTCATAACAAGTTATATAGTATTAAGTAAATCTACTCCAATAGGATTGTCCTAGGAAAAAAAAAAAGAAGCATTGGTTTAATTAGTGAGATCAAATTTTATTAACATGAATTAATAATAAATCATAAGTATACAATAATAGTTAAGTTTATAATTAAAAATATAAAAAATTATTTATATAAATTTAAATTTAGTTAAGAATTAAAAAGGTAATTGATTTCACACGTTACACGAGTATACATATTAGTATTAGTACAATTAAATGTGTCGGTTGCCTTAGTTGGTAAAATAATACGAGTGAATGGCAATTTTGTTAATCACATTTGGCTTTTGGCTTTTGTCTTTTCCATTTCGCCTCTTCCCTCTATCCAACCATAATTTGCATGCAATATGTCACTAATAAAATTAATTATGTTTATTTTTATTAGTAAAAGAAATTACAAAGAAAGACAAACTTAAAATTTTATATATTTATCTTGATTTTTTACTATCAAGCCAATTAAAAAAAACAACTTTTATTAATTTAAAATATTTTAGACATATTTATTATAAATATTATTTGTGTTGATAATGATGATGAAGAGTATTGCTAAAGGGGGAAGTTGATGAAGTGAGAAAACCATTGCCGTGGTTTTCGAATTTAGAACGTTAGAAGAGAGAGAAGACAGTGTTCCATAGAAAATTTGAAAAACAAATGAAAAGGACAGAAGAAAGAGAGAAGGGCATATTAGTCATTTGGCAAAAGGGAGAGGAACGAAGCCAACAAATGCCACGACCCCTCTTTCCATTTTCCAGCTGTGACCAAATCATCCTTGTCCCCTCCTCACATGGCCCTCCCTAACTCAACCATAGTTATTCCTTAACCACACCCATTCCACTCCTACTCCTACATTGTCCCTTCAAAGCTCAGAACAGGAATTCTACTAATTAATAAATCAAATTTCCAAACTATGTATTTTTCAATCACATGATCAAATATTATTAAACATTTAAACTTCATTCATATATACCAAAGTCATTAGATCAAATGATTTGACTCCTATATTCCTTAATCAAAAATTGGGATTCAATTCTTGATTTGGACATCAAGTCATGACTAGAAGTGTCACTTTATCTTTATATGAGCTTACTTGGTAGGAAAGAGTTATACCTTCACATTAGACAAAATAAAAAAGACCTCATTTATATGTATTTGTTACAATTTTTTATCTCTTAATTTTATCACATTAGATGCCACTTTATTTAAAAGGTGAGAGGTCATGAGTTAGCATTAAGTTTTAATGATCAAGAAATTTTAAATTGATACGACCATAATTTTATAATTTTTTAAATTAGAGAGGTTAAATGTTTCAATTTTAAAATATAGAGTTCGAAATTATGGATTGACAAAAGTAAAAAAATCAAAAATATAATTTAGCCAAATAATAATTTACCAACAAGTGACTAGACTAGTGAATATGAGTTTAGGTCCCATATCTTGTGAATAAATGTTAGGAACTCAAATAATTAGTAAGGTCAAATATAAATTTGTGCACAAATTAAGTTTGGTCGACAAAAAATAACTTACTTATTGATGCCTTTAGATGTAATAAAACAAAACCATTACAATCGATCTAATGATTGACTTTGGTTGGCTTGAGACAGATGTACAAGAATTTAAGATCAATCATTATTGTTGTCAACATAATATTTTTTAATAATATTTTTTTTAAATGATTAGCATAATGAATGATTAACAAGATGATGACTACAAATAAAACTACCATATATCATTAAGTGAGAATGACACTAATGACTACGATGATGGTGATCTTTATGATAACAACGATAATGATAATGGTAATACGAGAATAGTGTTAACAATGACAATGATAGAAACGACTATAGTGGTGGTGGTATAGTAGTTTTATTTGTGATCTTATAATTTAAATCACTTATTTCAATATAATGATTAAAATTGAGTATTTTTATTCTCACATAAAAATGTCATTGTCATATTATACCTTTTTTCGTCTATAGTTATATTTCATGTTCTTACTAAATTTCATACAATTTAAAAATTATTAGATAATTTATTACAACACTTTATTTTAGCTTATAATATGATATTTTAAATATATATAAATATTCATTGTGACAAAACATATATAGAAGAATCTATATTATGTGAAAAAATTTATATACATGATCATAACTTCATAAGTGTAATACTACATAATTTCAATGATTTAATTGGATAAATTTTCATTTTAAAAAAATTATTGAATCTGTAATTTTATTCACTCACGCACACATTTAGTTACATTACTCGCACAAACTTACATTTAAACACTTAATACTTACACACTTACATTTAATAATTACAAATAGTCACATTTCAATGTATTATAATTAATCTACTGACTTAATAAAAAGAATTACGTATGTTTAACATGCAAAAAATATATTAAAAAAATAATGCTTTTCTATAACAAATCCTTTAGGAAAAAGTTACAAGTTTTTTTTTTTTAAAGGAAAAAGTTATGAGATGACTGAAGTTATTCCTATTTAATATCAATCTTAAGAATAATTTTAAGCGATTAAAGTTTAATTTTTTAATGAAAAAACATTTATTATATAAAAAATATATAAGAATACAACGAATGCATTAATTGTTAGATTTTTAAATCATTCCCTATTATGTTTCCTATATCTCTTTATTTACATCGCATATACTTTTGGTTGTTGGATGGCTTTAAATATAATATAAACCATGTTAAAAAGAAAATTATGTATACTCACAAAGTGTTATAGAGATTAATTACTGTTTTTAATAATATATATTTTATAATATATATATATATATATATATATATATATATATATATTTATTTTTTTCTCTATTG